GGCTGCGGCTGTGAGAGGGCAGAGAGGGGGAGGCAGCTGGGCCAGGCAGCGCTCGCCATCAGGCTCACCTCCACCAGGAACGCCAGGGCAGGCAGTTCCCACAGGGGCTCTTCCCTGCTGAGCCGCGGGAGCAGGTTGGCGGCGACGCTGCGGCAGAAGGAGTGCGAGACACGGCACAGCTCCCTGCAAGGGGGAATAAAGGCACCAGAGACCCTGAGCCAGGTGGGCAAAGCTCTCCTGGGACTGACGCACACAGGCATGGTCTTTGGCTACCAGCACGGGAGGGGACATGGGCGCTTTGGGAGGTGGCTCCTCCTGTGCAGCCGCCCCTCTCCGCCTTTGCCACTCTGCTCAGCCATCCCTGGCTGCCAAGGCCCTCTGGCCCAGCAGCACGGGCACTGTGTGGGGTGGCCTGTGCACAGGGCAGAAATGCCGGGGGCAGTGGGGAGAAAGGGCTCTCACCTGGCCAGCAGACCCACTGCATAGTGGTGGCTGTCAGCCTTGAGGAGCATGTCCCAGCCACACTTGCGATGGATCACCATCACCACGTCCTCATCCAGCAGCTGGCGCAGCAGGGCTTTGACGGTCTGCACTGCAAACCTGTGTGCAGAGCACAGCCCAGGTCAGGCGCAGAGCCCCGGCCCCAGCCCCGAGGGCGTGGCAGGGAGAGAGGACTGGGATGGAGCACCTGTTGGGGTTGGGGGGGAAGGCTGCGCTGCTCCCGGCATCGCCCCCAGAAGGTCTCGACCTCCTCTGACATCTCCTCTGTGCTGATGAAAACTTGGAAGAGCAGAGTCAGAAGGAGGCGGGGCAAATTGGTCTTCACTGCCCCTGGGCACCAGGGCAGCTGGAGGATCTCCCAGAGTGCCACAGTTGCCTGCCAAAGACAAAGCACCCAGAGACAGCTCTCAGGGCCCAGATGTCCATGTGGTAGGGCCCCAGCGTGGCAGGGAGAGGCCAGGGGAGACACAGGGGGATCCCCCGGCCTGCTGGCCCTGAACTTGCCCCTAAGCCAGGGTTGCAGCCTGGTGCCTGAGGCAGGGAGAAGCAGTGGTGAGGGAGGATGAAAAGGTATCCCAAAGGAAAGCTGGGGCTGAGCAGAGGCCAGCTCAATAAACTCACAGCCAGGGCAAAGACATCGCTCTCATCCCCATCCGAGGTGCGTGTCCTGTGCGCTGGCCAGAATTCCAGCGCACGGAAGAGGATCTGCAGCACCGGCTCCTTAGTCCCTCTGGAGGAGATGAGCGTCCTCCACATGGTGCGAGCAGCTCTGTGGAGTCAGAACTCTGGCTCAGGGGGGTCTGGGACACAGCGCTGTGGCCTGGGCATCTGCAGGGCCCAGGTGACAGAGCCACGGTGCCTTGTGGGGCAGGGAGGCAGGCTGGCCTCAGGATTGGGGGCTTGACATGCCAAAGCTGGCAAAGAGAGGAGCTGGAGTGTCCTGGAAGTCTCCATCTCTCTGGTACACCATTTGGGACAGGTTGTGCAGGGGGATGGGGTCTAAAGGCAGGGGAGTCCTCAAGGCAGGTGGGCCCCATACCTGTCACAGGCTGGGGCAGAGCGCAGCAGGGTCACTGCAACATCCACAGGGTGTGCCTCGGTCAGCAGGACAAGAGTCTTGTCCAGCCTGTGCTCAGCAGACACATTGCACGTGAGCCACTGGTGGATGCACCTGACTATGGCCGGCACCTGGAGG